TCTTCAAGAATTATGAAAGGCAAGATGCAACTCTACTTAGTTGGAATTTGAATTTTTTCATCTTTGTGTATATCTTTTTAGTTTGTATAGCATTACTTTGCAGAAGGTGTCCCTTGATACGCAATGTAGTATTAGGTTATATAGTTACGGAAAACCTCTTAGTAACAATGTACAATTAGATCCCCTTAATATCAATGTATTACAATTTTTTGACATGATGTTATTGAATGAAATTGATTGTTTTCGTATATATTTGTTTACATGTATTATGCGTAAATGAGTATCGTAAAGATGCGTCGTAAATGCATATCGTAAATGGTTACTGAAGTTTATGACAAGCAAATGCGTGTCATCTTCATTTATGACAGGGGCTTCCTTGATACGCATTGCGTGTCATAAACACGCGCGTCGTAAGGTTACGACACTCAAATGTGTGTCGTCTTCCTTTATGACAGGGCCTTCCTTGATACGCATTGCGTGTCATAACTGCGCGTCGTAAATGCGTGTCATAAATGCGCGTCGTAAATGCGCGTCGTAAATAGACGACGCGCAAAAGCGTGCCGTCTCTCGTTATGACAGGGCCTTCCTTGACACGCATTTGCGCGTCGTCTGAGCGTTTTACGACACGCATTGCGCGTCGTAAAAGGCTGTTTTTCTAGTAGTGAAAATAGAGTGTATGTCCCATAAACTATACCTATTATAGTTTATAAAAATGCTTCGTTGTAGTGAAAAATCCTTTGTATGTACATTATCATTTTTACTATGATAATAACATGAAATGAAATAAATATATGTATTTTTATATAACTATACCCTTTTTGCTCAACATATTACAAAAGGGTTAAAGTCTTATAAACTATATTTATAATGTTTATTATTGTAATCAAATTTGTACCCATATATATATATATATATATATATATATATATATATATATATATATAGTTTGTAAGAATAACATATGTAATGGTTTGTATATTAACACAAGTTTTCTTGTGTTTTACTTGTATTCCCCCCCCCCCCCCCCAAAAAAAAAAACATAGAAAAATCTTGAAAACTATAGGGGTATGAACTCACCTCGAGTGCGTTCTTGGCTGGGTAACGAAGTGATGACGATGATCTTCAAGTTAGAACACGTGAAGATATTTGTATCCTAATAGTCTTAAACACATAATAAAATGTGTAAATTAGATGAACTAACAATGAAAGTGTTGTATAACACTAGATTATGTAAGGAATACTTACAAAGATTCCTAAAAATCAATTGAAGAATTTGTTTTCTGGGGATATTTGAAAGTGTTTATGGGCAAATATATGAAGATTTGAAGATGTTCTTGGGGATAAACGTATGAAATTGAATTCGTTTCTTGAGAGCAAAATGAAGGAAATTTTGAAGTGTAAATGAGAAATGTGGTGGTGTTTTCGGCCATATAAATAGATAAGGTGTAAGAGTGATGTGATGTTTGCATTGGTATGTGGATTATATCACACTGGGAAAAGCACCACCGTTTAAAACCAAAGATTTCGGCCTATCTTCACCGAAATCACCTTGATTTCGGTCCAAGTGAAACCGAGAACTCCAAGTCTTCGGTCTAAAGAGATTTTGGTCTAGGTGTGATCTCGTGTCCTAAATGATTTCGGTTCTATCATGATTTCGGTTTTGTGCCACCCACTAAAGGGTGATTTCGGTTCTTGGCATGCTTTAAGACTCAAGGTTTTCGGTCCTAAAACCAAGAACCCTAAAAGCAAAGTGTAAAGTGTTTTGTTTTAACTATTTGACTTTTGTTGACTTAATTGACTTTTGTTGACTCAAAATTTATAGTTGTTGGGTGACAATAAAAACAAGTTAAGTACTTCAAACAAATATCAAACAAGCTTCGGTGAAACTCACGAAAATAAACCTTCTGAAAACGTAAATTAAAAGAACACAATATTTAACGTGGTTCCGTCAAGGTGACATACATCCATGGGTGAATGAGAGAGAGAGAGAGAGAGAGAGAGAGAGAGAGAGAGAGATAAAGAGAGAGGGGGGATTTTATTAACTTTCTGGAACTATGACAATCACTCAAAAATGTATCTCAGTTTGAGCTCTCATATAAATCTAGCAATTTATAATGATGGGGGTATGAGCCTATTTAGGGCAAGCATGGGAAACCCTAACTTCGATGGGCCAGGCCCATCCATAATTAGCCCATTTAGGGGATGCCCTAATTTTCAACCAATCACGGAATTCTATATGGGAGCTTCTAGAATCTTTAATCTCATGAGCATCAACCAAAAACATGATGGATCATCATGGGCCATGATGGCGCATCATAAGCCACGATAGCGTGTCATGATGGTGCACCTGCCATCAAGATGGCGAATCAGCCTTGTGGAGTATCCTCATTGATCATCTTCAACCTTCTAAGTAACAATGAATAACTTCGAGCATCCTAGTGAGTCTTGCACCTAAATGGTGCACCAAGGAGGCATGATGGCGCACGTCGAACCTTAGTTGCACATTATGCTCCATAATGGCACATCTTCAACTTGAGTGACACATCCTTGCTTCTTTGTTCATCAACAACACTTCAACACTCCCATAACACAACAAAGCATGTAATAGTTGTGGATCAAGCACCAAGGTGGGGAACCTTGATCATAGGTGGCGCATCTTGTGCATGGATGGCGCACCTTGTGCACAAGGTGGCACATCTTCTTCATAATGGTGCACCATGATGCACGACGCATCACTGGTGCTCCATTCTCCTTCTTGATGCTCCACTCCAACTCCAAGTGCTCTATGTTGGTCCATGATGCTCCATTCCACCTCCAAGTGCTCCATTACAACTCAAAATGCTCCACTTGAGTGAGTGGGTGCGGTAGAGGTTGCACTCCCTTGCCATATCAGCTTGGAATGCCGCCCCTCCTTGCGGTTTTGGTGCGGTAGAAACCACACTGTGGCACTCCAAAGGAGCGCTCCTCTCTTCCTATTGACATTCCAATTGACCATCGATTGGTCAGATTTTTTTTAAAAAAATGTTTTTTTTTTTTAAACCTTTTTAATTGAGTGTGGCACCACTCCTTGGGTGTGGCATGAAACCATACTTTGTAGTAATTGCTGACGTGTCGCCTACGTGGCAGTGAAGGGAGTGCAACTTTTGTGGCACCACTCCCTCTAGCCTAATATGAATGACATTTATAGATGACATGGGGCAATTAGCAAATATAATTTCAAACTAATTCTTGGAATGCTAAAACACTATTTATTGGAGTAAGATTAGCCTTAATAAGGTATGGTGTTGAGAATTTTGGGTTTCTATTATATATTATTGTTCAGAGTTCGTGAGATTGTTATAAATCTTTTGGAAGCTTTGTGAAGACGATTTTCCAGGGAGCAGAGTTGTGAGAGAAATATTTAGCCTAAATGTATTGGAAGGAAATTATGGCTAACAATAAAGCATGTCGTCTTGGTGTTGGAAGTTTAAGTTCTTTTAACCGTGCGTTAATTTTTAAGTGGGTTTGGAGATTTATAGAATACAACTCACTTTGGGTTAAACTAATCAGTGTTATTCATCAGCAACATGGTGGCTAGACTTCTAATATGAGTCGGTCCACCTCTTATAGGTCTTGGCGTAATATTTTAAGAATTGTTGATCAACTAAGGAGTCTTGGTTTGGATATGTCTTTTTATTAAAGTGGGAAATGGTTTATTTGCCAAATTTTGCAATGATCCATGGTTAGGAGACGTTACTTTGAAAGAAAGGTTTCCCATAATATTTGTGTTGGATAAAAGTAAAAAGTGTCTCACTAGTGAGTGTATTCGGTTGAAATTTAAATTTGTGCAGACTGCTTAGAGGAGGCGTTGCGCATGAACAATGGTAAACATTGGTCTTTATTGCACTCTTTTTTTAGATCAAACAAGCAAGTGGTAACGGAATTTAGATTCTTCGAGAGTTTATTATGTGCCCTATGATCGTGCGTTTTTAGATAATGTTGTGTTTCCTACCGAAAATCACCCTACTAGTTGGAACAATTTCATTCCTATCAAAATTAACATTATGGCTTAGAGGATGACTCTAGAACGTATGCCCACTGAATCAAATTTGGTGGATAAGGTGTTGATATTGATTTTATGCTTTTATCCTAAATGCAACACCAACAACAAGACTCTAGACCTCCTGATCCTTAATATTTATTTTCCTGATTCTATTTGGTCGCCTTATAGTCATATAATCAAGACCGATTTAAAGTCCCAGACAAAATAAAAAATATAAAACTTTTTTTTGCCACTGTTTGTGATGGGTTAACACCAAATTATTTTCCTAAACTTATATAAGTAGATACATAAAAAATGGATCAAAAAAATTTGAAGACCCTAGGCCATCACTCATGTTCCCCCACTCCCCTCTAGTACGACCAACTTGTAGTTCTTTGTGAGATGTGGTTATTTTGTCTCATAACTACATGATCAACTGGTTTAGAAGGGTAGATATAAGCATATATAAATGAGTTCATGTGGTTGTCATCGCGATCTATTGGCTCATTTGGATTCGCCAGAACATCATTTTTTTAACGGTAAAATCTAAAAAAACTAAAACTTTCAACAAGATTGCTACTCAGTTTTTTTATCATTTGGGAGGTTGATTACAAAATCCGCTTGTTTCTAGTTCGTTTTTCTCAATAAAATTGTCTTTAAAAAAATGTTTGTGGAAATCATAGTGTAACATCCCGACTCCCAGGTATAAATTTAAATAATTTTATATTCATTTTGACAAGGCAACTCGACGAGTGGGAGGCCCCAACTCGCCGAGTAGAGATTGAGATAGTCGCGTGGATTTTAGAGTCAACTCAACGAGTCAGAGGACCCAACTCGACGAGTAGGAGCTGAGCGTGAAAACTCTAATTTTCAGGGTTTGCACCCTATTTAAAGGACCTTAAGTCATTTACCCCGCCTCCCTCATCACCTTAGCACCCTGAGCAAAACCCTAATCGAGTTGTTATCATATGTGTGTGTG